GGTGAGCTTTATTTAAAAATTAACTATTGTACATTTATTTATCAAATATATCTGTACTTTACTTGAACTTGCACGCATAGAAGTACGCAATCAAATATGAAATATATATACATATATACATGTGTATATATATATAGATTTGTATATATTAGAAATCTGTTTAACTTAAGTAATATAATTGATGTCTTTAAAAATTATTTTTATTTGCAATCTTCAGTTGTTTGACAAGTGGTTTAAAAGCTTGTTTGTGTGATATATATAGAAACCTATATAAATTTGGGAAGAGTCCAGCTTCAATCATTATTTTAGTCTACTTCAACTATAATACAATCATTTCATGGATTTCTTGATATTTATTTTCTTGCATTATTTTCTTTTTTAATTTTTCATTTGTAATAATTACCTTTTCTCTAAGCGACTTCTTTTTAAAGGTTAGTGCATAAATACGAGCTTTAATGACTGGATATCAAATCTAAAGAAAATGATAATTGAGGTCATAAAGCAGAATTCCCATCATTTCACCATTTCTATCATGGACTTGTGACCCGGTGCATTATTAGTTTTAAAAACACTCTATGTTTCTTCGTTCAGGAGGGTTTATTAGAAATTTAACTCTTTAGTAGCATAAAAAGCACTATATAGTAATCGTTATCAAATCTATTAATCCTTTATTTTCAAAGATAGTCGAAGAATTATACAGTGCAGTTGTTGAATACTCAGTTGATTACCAGATCATCATAATAAGTAATGAAACCATTTTTTGTATTTAAATATATTTAAATTATGTTCAGAATCATTAATGTATTTCTGTTTTTGATCGACTATAACTAAACTCTGAGACAGACCACGCATTGTTAGAAGCTGTCTCCTTGGTAAGAGTTATTTTTGTTTATTGTGAAATATATATATTCTTTTTATATCATTAGGACACAAATTAAGAATTAACATAATTTTGTGGGTTCTTTAGTGTTTACTGGAGTAACAATGTCTACAACATTTAATGTCTGTACGATTGTGCTTGCATTACATTTAACAATAATACACATATGTCTAATGATTATATATTTTATTTTCAAAGAATTTTGGTTCGTTTAATCTTACCATAGCATTAACATATATTTGCTTACAGTGATATGATTTGGAGATCTGTGTGTATAATGGTTTTTCTTCTTCTGGTTAAAACAATTTGCCAGTTTAGAGACTATGGCTTCCTTTTTATCAAATCAATTTCAAGGTTTTATACATTAAATGAAAGATAAAGAGTACATCAATATTTGTGCCATATGTTTAATGGAATAGAACTTTACAATTTCGGCAGTGTAGTTCGATAAACACCTAGGGTACCAACAATTTTCAACAAATTTAAACAAAATTTCCAATACTTACTACTTTTAGTTTATTATTTGTTTCACTTTTTTAATTAAATGTGTATAAATATACAAACATTTTAAACCTTACTTGAAGGAAATCTATAAATAAATAAAGAAATCACTGCATTTTTAGTTAAATTCTGCAAAATGATATCATAAAACCTATTTTGCTCTGAAAGCTAAAACTCAATTCAAGTTCTCAAAAATAAATATTCCATGATATCTTTGATATGTTCAATATCCAGATACTATACATTAACCGTTTGCAACGGCTTGTTTCAAAAATACCGTACAACCAATAAGATTTTACTATTGTTTTAATAAAATTACCACTTTACGCACATTGAATGCATAAAACAAAATTTACTTTCTTAAATTTTCTGAGATCTACAGTTATTAAAGATCTACACTTATTAAAAATATTTCAAATAATATAAATACAGTAATCCTTTCTCAAATCCTAGGTGATGAAAATAAATTGCTCTTCAGAAATGGTGTTAATACCTATAAATGCTTATTACTTAGGAACTTCTCCCAGTACTTAAATAAGAAAAGTGGTCACAACTGTAGGTTAAAGTAAGATATATAAATTCATTTAAATAAGTTTAATTTAAATAAAAATTTATATATATTTATTTTATTTTTAATAAAATGTTGTTCTGCGATACGACAGTAATTAATTGACCTTCCTATTGTTTGGTTTATCCATTAATAAGGCAGTGTTCCGTTACGATTAGGCCAGCTATTCTGTCGGACAGTGAGTGGTGCGGAAGTCTTAATAGCTGATCTCTTTTTAGATTATGGACCCATAGTTTTGTTATCGTTTCTATATAAGTATGTTTGTCTATGACTCGCCTTTTTAAAATATTCTGAATGTATTTAAAATTATTTTGACTGAACTTACTGGAATTCCTATATCAGATATGATTGATATTATGGGTAGCTGAATGCCATTTTTAAAAATTCCAGGAATGTCTACATGACCTGGAAGCCATTTCAGTTTTACTATTGAATGCATCGACATTTTGTTAAGATATGATCACTTCAGCGTATATACGGCTGCCAGAAATATCGCTATAACATAGAAATTATTTCTGGTTAATCATTGAATACAACTACAGACAATGGTGAGGGATATAATGGCCCCTCCATTCATACGAAATATTTAATTATGGAAAACCATTCAATTGTGATACATTTTTCTTGCAATATTTTTTGTTATGCTGACTTCAGATTGGATAACATTAAATAAAATTTTTTTTTCAATAAACTGGGAATAAATATGAACCGATAAATAAATATTAAAATGGTTTGTTCAGAGCCATTGAATTTGATAATACAACAGCCAGACAGGTTTAAATATCGTTATATATTGACGAAATCGATATATTTGGGAATATGTCAAATTAGGATTCCTTCACATAAACATATGTAACCTTATATAAAAAGATTTGATCTTTAAATTTGTTTTGAACCCTAAGCCTTAACCCTAAGTTTTATTCTGTTAATTTGTTAAATAAAGTATTTATACACACTGGTTTTTGTTTTTAACAGTTTAAGTCACATTAAACCTAAACCTATATTTGGGATAAAATATTTTTTAAATGCTTCTAAAGCATTGGAAACCTAATTTACTAATCAAATCGTTGTTTTAGTTTTTCTTAGAACGAGAAGTGAATGTTTCGTTTAAAATTATCCTTTATTCGTTGCTTTATGTGCCTAATAAAGCATTTTATTTGCCTAAACTTTCTGATTGTGCAAATATGCAATCAGTAAAATTTTCTCAAAGAAATTTTCCTAAATATACTCAATTTTCTTGAACACGTGTGCAAATAACACGTTTGCACATTCATGGATATATTTAAGCGGTTTTATCCCTATGAAAGTATTATAGATATTAGTAAACTTATTTCGGTACAAAAAAAGGGTAACGCAGCCTTCGAAGAAAAACGATTGCGTTGCGACAGTGGAAGAGATGAAATGTTTCCAAAGGATATGAGGACAAATAAGTAGGTAAAGTGAAATCATATATTCAAAGGTTCCAAATAGTTTTTACTTCAACTTATAAATGTAATATTATGACTCTTCAGGATTTTTATAAAGCATGCTAAATTCTTGCTAAATTGCTAAAGTCGTGGTGTTAGACAAAAATATTGCAGGTGTGGCTTATAATTAATTATTATTAATGTTATTAATACATAGAAATTTCCCTAGAACGATTGGTGATTATTAGTTGAATTATCTTGAAATAAGTTGACGTTTTTCGATTTGACGATTAGATTTAACATTTAAGAATTTAACTAGTTTTATAGCATGTTAATTTGCTAAAGTTTTAATACATACGAAGCATTTAGCATTAACTTTTTATATTTTCATTTTAGCTATTTACTAGAATTTTTGCAAATGAAATAGAAATTGTGAGAAGGCCTTTTAATTGGATTAAAACGACTATAGTAAACCTTTTCTTTTGTATTATATTTAGCTAAAAAAACAGAGTTTGGGTAAAGAAAAGGGAATGAAAAGGAAAAGTAGGAATAACAACTGTGATTTTTTTATTTAATTAATTTAATTGCATTCAAGGTAATATTTCAGTTCCCTTAAATGATAAAATTACTTGAATTGTATATAGAAACTCAAATATATATATCCATATAATTCAATTAAACTAATTAAATAATTCAAATATTTCTTAAGATCACTGATGATGAGTATTTGATAATACTCGAAACAGCGTTGACCAAATTTTAATAAAATAACTAAAATAATTGTTGTTGTCTACTCGTACCCTTTTTTTCGTCATAAGAAGCAGCACTTTCGACAAAATATATTAACATTAAATACATATAGTTCTCAGTAAAGAATATAAATAAATAAATGCAGAAGAATAAATATGAATAAGTATTAAACATCTTAGAAAAAATTTTCTTTGCAATCATTTTAACCCTTTACCGTGCGCTCCTGCCAATTCTCCTCGCATTGAGATATAAACAATAAAACTTTTTCCTTCTGTTAATGATACCTAAATAATTATTTAATAAGGCTGGTTAGCCTTAAGAGACTTAGACGTAATTTTGGCAAGTTCTTTCGCGGTGGATAAAAGCGGAAAAGTGGGAATTTGTTCGATTAACAACTGCGATTTTTCCACTTAATTTATTCAAGATACATTCAAGGTAATCGAAATAAAATTCACTCATAGCTTAAAGTAGAAATGCTATCTAAAATATGCGACCACAAATCCATTTTATTGACGGAAAATTTAATATGAATTATAGAAATGTGCCAATTTGTGCTGAAAACTAAAGTGGCCGGAGGCGAAATAATTACTGATTGCCAAATTATAAATTTATAATTTGTTACACAGGCAAAGGCAAAGGCATAGACATAGTTGCTCTGTAATTAAATTTGCTAAATATAAATTTCACATATCGCGAACCATTCGTATCTGCCTCCAGATTGGTGGGTGTGTTGCATCACAAATTGTGCATAATAATTACTGCAACATTATTGCCTCCGTTGCGAAAAATGCGGAGCACTCGCCATTATTAATTAATGAAATTTATACTGTCAATTAGTATTAAAGCCGAGATAAAAACTGAAAGCTGTTCAGTTCACAATTAGGGTTCATCGTGATTGCTAACGCAGTGCAGTTGAGAATTTATTTGGGAAAAAAGTGAATTTGGCATAATGGAACGTTGGGAAAATTGTGTGGCTGTTGTTACTGGGGTTAGTTCAGGCATAGGTAGTGTCATAGCAAAGGATTTAGTCACTGCTGGCATGATTGTTGTTGCTCTGGCGCGACGTAAAGAGCGCGTGGATGCATTGCGTGAATCTCTGTCACCAGAATTGAAGAGGAATTTCCATTCCATTAGATGTGATGTGTCGGATATGAACATGATTAATAAAGTTTTCGACTGGATTGAGAATAAGCTCGGTGGTGTTGATGTGCTGATTAATAATGCAGCCACACTGACTGGTGGTCAAATAATGACGCTCGATACTGCTATATTACAACAGAGTGTGCAAACTAATATCATGGGATTGGTACAGTGTAGCAAACGTGCCTTTAAGTCTATGCAAGAACGTAACATTGCTGGTCATATAGTCAATATAAATAGCATAAGTGGGCATAGAGTTCTACGTCTACCATGCGATCACGTACTTAACATGTATCCAGTCACAAAGTATGGTGTTACAGCACTTACTGAGGTTCTGCGACAAGAATTTCGAGATTTGGGAACACAAATTAAAATTACAGTAAATAATTTCGATATTTGTGTGTTTATGTTTGTTTAATTGTAAAATATTTCTCATTTTTAATAGAGCATTAGTCCTGGTCTATGTGATACTGAAATGGTACAAGATGCGCTAAGGGAGTTGGCAATGTTAAAACCCGAGGATGTGTCAAATGCAATATTGTATACATTATCTACGCCACCTCACGTGCAAGTACACGAGATTATTATAAAACCCATCGGCGAAACTATTTGAAGATACCTAGTAATTTCAAATTATTTTTAATAAAAAAAAAAAAAAATTTGTTGCTTTTTCACAAGAAATATAGTTGAACCATTTTAGATTATAGCACTTCAAGGAATACTATCTTACATGTCGTCTAACAGGTAGAAATTGTTATTTAATTATAAATGAATTATAAGAGTAAATGAATTTATATCTAAATAAATAACTATAAAAATTTGTAGCTAAACATAATATCTACTATTTAGTTGTCAACTGATAATTTATCAATAAATATATACTTGAGATCTAAATGTATACCAATGTCTATGTTGCTAATTAATTACATTAAATTACATTAAAGGCTCATCCATATGAAAGCTATGGGATATATTAGATAGATGTCGAAGGTGTATTTGTCAATAAATTTAAGGCACAGAAGCTTCGGAGCCATGCTTTAAAGAGAAGAATTACGATATATGATATAAAGAAAAATTGAGATAAATATCTTGACAATTACTTTGGTTTAACCTATCTCTTGTTGCAGTAGATCCATTTAGTTTATTCAGTTACTTTAAATACTTCATGTAGTTGCTGGGATAATGCATACATAATGATATATTTAAAGCCATGTATAAGTCAAACCTACTATATTAATTTACACAGCAATGTTTAACGTTTGAGAAGTTAACTTATGATAATTATTAATTAATTTTATACAGAATATTTCCATTATCGAAATCATAATGTTTAACACGTGATTAATATTCATTCTGAATAATCATTAATTTATGCAAACATTTGTTAATTAATAAAATATTTCATTAGCAAATATTACAGAATATTTCAGTCTTTACCGTATCATTAAGTGCTCCATTAAACCACAAATTCAATATATAAATATTGAGTTTGACTGAAGTGAAATTCAAAATAGCACATTTTTAATACTAAATCCTCAATTATATTTAAAATTTAAGAGCTTAAGAGACCAACTAAGTTAACATAATAGGATAGTGATAAAAACTGAATAATATAATTTCGATCTTACTACTTTAAACTTTATCATTTTTGATAACTGTTTTAACTTCCCGAAAGTTTATAAAATTGCAAAAAAAAAAAAAATTATTCACACATGAAAGGAAAATGAAAATTTATTTTACTTTCATTTTTATTTAAAATTGCTTTTATTGAGTAAAAGTGTAAATATTATAAAAAAGTACTTTTTTAATTAATATTCCTGAACACTCATAAGGAAATTATGCCCTTTTCTTAGAACCGCTTAAGTGCGAAGGGTAAACGCAACATTGAAGCCCTTCGACAACTTCAATATAATATCACCTTGCAACTCAAAATCAGGCTCAGTGATATTCGAATGTACCGAATACCTGCGTATTATTGTAGAAATTAACACCTTCAGCATTAGCATTGCATATTTCCGTCCTAAAGCAAGAGAAAATATAGAAACATTTAATGACAACCAATTATTGGTTGATAAAACTTACCTACGCAACTTCTGGGTCCAGCACTAAATGGTATATAACTATAGTAATGTCGTTTAGAGACTTCTTCAGGTAGAAAATTGTCTGGATTAAATTTTTCTGGATCCTTATATGTATTGGAATTACGATGGACAGCATATTGCCCAATAACCACGGTCGAACCGTTAGGTATAGTATATGGTCCGGAAGCCAGCCTAACGTCGGTATTAACTTTACGTGCAATTATAGGAACTGGTGGGTAGAGACGCAATGTTTCTTTTATAACTCGTTCCAAATAGTGCATATCTATTGTATCTGCAAATGTGCATGGACGATTCATATCATTGCCGAAAATAGCCTTTTGTTCCTCATATACTTTATCCTGTACATCCTTATGTATACCCAAAAGACATAGTAAGAAACTAGATCCAGCGGAAGTTGTGTCATGGCCCTACAAAACACATGAGAATAAATAATAAAAGAGGTTGAATAATAAGATATACAAGACAAACCTCAAACATCAAAGTATTCACTTCATCAGTAATATCTTTTTCAGTCCATTTATTATTCGGATTTTTTGACATTTCAAGCATCGCATCCAATAACGCCAATCGCCGTTTTGTACCTCAAACCAAAGATTTAAATGTAATTGCTTAATTTCACTTAATTTTAAATAACTTTACCAACATCATTCTCATCAATATCATCTAAATCGTCCCGAAAACCATCCTGTTTTTTAACTTTACTTTCATTTGCATCCTTTGTGTCGAAAATTCCATCAGATTCCACATTGAAATTCTTGATACGTTCGGTAATAACTCGTTGTGTGAGTGCGAGTATACTTGATAGCAATTCATTGAGTTTTGTATTAAGTTTTGTTAGCTTAAATAATATATCGAAATGATAATTTAATTGAATTTGTCTTCTATGGATTATATCACACATATCGACCACAGCCTTTGCATAGTTGGCACATTCACTTCCACTTGGCAAATTTTTAACACCCATAACCGTACTTAGTAAGATTTCCACTGTGGTTTCACTCATGTAGTCATGGACGTCAATTTCTTTACCAGTAAGTTTTGAAAATTTTTTTACTACATTTTCGGAATATTCCACAAACTTAGGCATAAAACTTTTTAGTATGCTTTGATGGAATGTTGGCGCAATCATTTTACGATGATGTTGCCAGTGGGCACCTTTACTAATCAGTAAACCATCCCTGAACCATGGTTTAAAAAAGCGATATTCTTCAGACTTTTCCAAATGTTCTGAACTACTAAGAATTATTTCAATATCAGCTGGGTTTGTGATAAATACCACAATCCGATGTCCATTGACAGCCCAAACTGTCTCCCCATATTTACGGTAATAATCCAAACAAGTGCGCATGATTTCTATAAAAAAGTAATTAATTACTTAATTTTTCGAAAACAAATATGTTAAGTTAAATATATATTTTAAATAATATTTAATAACGAATTAAAAAAAATTAAATACAATATAAACGTAAATGAAATAATATTTATAATTATTAGGTTGTAGCTATTTGAGCCGGTGCACTTAAGCACTTTTACTCTTTCTTAACTCGACATATTTTTAAAACCCCTTTTTACGCCTTGACGGGATTATTGTTTATTACTTCATCAGACTAAGCAATAATTGACCTCAGATCTGCATAGCTCCCCGAGGAACCTGTAACCATTCTGTGATTTGATAACGCGATTTTGGTTTGTTTGTCAGTTTTCGCAAATAATTTCTGGGCTCTATCCTTTATGTATTTTATGATTGGATAAATCTTGAGGTCCCTGAGGATGTCATTCATCCTAATATACCATGGTACTTTGAAAAGTGTTCTCAGAGCCTGGCTTTGTGCAATATCTAGCTGGCCAATAGTAGTGTTTGAAGCTTTACTAAACACTAAAATTCTTACCCCTACTGGTGAGTCCAATTACATGATGTGCATGACCAATAAGTGGCAACCTCGGTGGTGTTGGCATATTTGCCAATAACTTATAGGCGCGAGAGTTTCGAAACCATAGTTCATAGAGAAAAACTATTAGAACCACTCCAACGAATGCGACATAAAAAGGTGACAACAAACTCGTTCGGTTGGTTTTTGGCCAATCTTGACTATAGTTTTGGGTTAGTTTTTCCATAGTAGCACCAGTTCTATTCAGTTTGATCGACTAGTTTGTACTAAATACCTCATGCAGTTGAATTTTGCATTATAACACGCATGTATATATTTTGTATATTGCATATATAATGATATATTTAAAGTCGTATATTACTCAAACGTGTTTTGGTGATTTGCAAAACAGTATTTTCGTTTGAGAACTGAACTTATGATAATGAAGGTCAATTTCGTATTGCATTACTTCATTATCGAAAAATGCAATTATAGGCACCTGAATAACATTAATTCCGCATAATCATTTAAATGAATGCGATATTTTATTAGCAAATATTACAGAATATTTTAGTCTATACCGTATCATGAAGCGCTATATTAAACCATATATTTATTATATATAAATATTATACAACAGTTTTCTTTAAAATAACACATTTTAAAAATAAGATCTTGAGCCTTCTTTAAGTTTCTACAAGAGGACTAACATATGATCACTTAATTAGCTACTGAAAAAATTAACAAAAACAATTTTAATATTATAACTTTACTGTTTATTCATTTTTTTAACATAATTTCTATTAATATTAATCCACACATTTTTGAAGTCGATAAATCTACTTTCTAATACAAATCACAGAATAAATTTTTTTTGGGTTTGGAACCCCAATATATATGCACTATTTATCTCGTTATTTTTTGCCGAGATGCAATATTTTATGGCAATTACATCATCAGTTCAAGATTTTTGGCTGTCTTGGAAAGATTCGACCTTCACGACAAAATAGCCAGTCTAGAATTTCCGCAACCATGTCGCGACGGTTGCAGGCGATAATGCAATCACCCCATATGATTTTTGGCATTCATTTAACATTTTCACAGGCTTAGGGTAGTGGGGAAATACTTAATGACCGGCAAATTGAAAAATTTGCGATTAAGCTTGCGTTTTGTATGATCCACTTACGTGTTGCACATTGAGCCAAGGTGCAAATCAGCTCTATATCTTCTATATCTTCGTATTGCTAATATTTCCGGTGTACGTGACTTCATCAATTTGAACCATACGCACTATAGCTACTTTGAAATGTACTTTCAGTACTTTCAATATAGAAACATTGTCAATAATTTTGTCTAAAATATAAAGAAGAGGCTTTTATATACTTATATATATATATGTAAAAATGTAATTCAAAAATGTGATGCATAGTTATTTTAAACAACTAACGATCACTTAAATCCAGTAATCTTGCATTTACTGCCTCGGTTTTCCGTTTAAAAGGAGCTTATCATTTAATCGCCAATCAAAATAACCGCGAATAAAATTTTACGTTTTTGTACGCATTTTATATTAGCTTTTGCTACTATATCTAAGCCAAACTGAAAGTATTTTAGCCTAAATTCTAAGATATTTTTTTTATTTGTATTAATAATAAATATATAATATTGACTTAGTAGCATGTAAGATTTAGAAACTTATTACTAGTCTCTATGGTAAGATAAGGTCCAATAAATAATATTATACTAATTACAAAAAGAAAAAATATATCAATGTATATGTTTGCATTTTAGAAATTAGGTATATTCTATGGATAAACAGATTCATGGTAAAAATGGTAAATAGTATCGATCCATTTAGATTTTGAAATAGTTGTTATATAAGATGTTATATATATTTATGCATCTGAATAAATTCTAATTTACAGTGAAATGACAACTATAATAAATTATTTGTTGCAGCGTATGTGCCTAAATATATACTAATTAACAATAAGATGATAACCGTAATGATACATTTGTTGCGGCGCATGTGACTAAATAAATACTAATCTACAATAAGATGATAATCATTTTAAAATTTAAGTTTTTGATTGAACATTTAAATTACTCTAAGATAAGATGACACAGTTGTCTTACAAACTGATACTTCAGATTGATCCCCACTAAAAGCTTATTCAACTTTGATAATTATAAGTAACAAAATATAAGGGTGAATAAGGCAATTTATGTAAGCTCTTTTAACTATTATTATATATTAATTTATATATATGTTATTATATATTTTAATGCATTATATATTTATTTTTATAATTTATTATTGATTCAAAAAATTCATACAGTACTTACAAAAATGATAGAATTTTACTTAAAATCTAAATTTGTTGTGTGTCAGATTGGCATACGGTCTATATTATTAACATTATTATTCATATAAATTCTTCAATAATTAATCTTCCTTAACTTAAAACAGTTTTCATGAATTTATACAGGTTATAAGTATTGCTACTGTTTAACAAGACTTTCACTTCTTCTTCGGACAGAAGTGCTTTACCAAAAAAAATACGTCTATGCTCTCTAAAAATCGGACATACTCCAATAGGTATGATATATATTTTTTATTTCATGACGATTGCACAAAGAACAATTACGTTCAGATATATTGAATTCTCTACCGATCAGTTTAAAGAGACTGCCTCTACAGGTAGTCTAAAGTAGGCTCGACATGTGTTAAGTGTTTTCGTAATAAAAACTATGCATAATACCATATTGCAGCTGTGGGTGCATGTCATAAGATCCTGATTTAGCATACGCGACAAAGGAATCGTGTTCACTTCGTTTGTATAAAGTAGAATATTGGCATGTAATAACTAGAGATCCATAATTGCGAACTGGTTATTGAAAGACTCAGTTCTAAACACATATTCTTACAATCTTTGGCCCAATATATTCCTTTGTCAATTCAGCTAGTAGCTAGTTCAGCTAGTATACAAGGAAGCTTAGTGGAGGGAAGAACAATAATTTTTCTTGTTGAAGCTATCTGTGTTTGCACTCTGTATTATATATATACTTCTTATATAAATCAGACCTTGTTGTGTATTCAAAATTTTATGTGATGAGTGTCTGAGTTTGGGCAAAGCTTAAGCTTACATTCTTACGTGTTTAATATTTAATCTGAATGCAAATTTTAATTCTAATGTGAATTGCAGTAGTTAGAAGATACTAAAGTGTCAGGAAATATTAAAGTTTAATTAAAGATACAATACATAATTCGCAACAAAGTTTCTAACTTTAAAAGCAAACCTATTTCAGTGCATTTTCATGTGCATTTAAGGTATGAATTTGTCTTTCTTTCCTGAAATAATTAACACACTCGTACCTATAAGAACAGTAAATAGAAAATTCCAGAAAAGTAGCAAAAATGCATAAATTTGAATAATTTCGTGTGTATTTCAAATATTTACTTACATTTTGCTACTTTAAGTAATAACGTCGAAATCCTGCTTTAGGAATCCAATTTCTGCAAACATGTTGTGATGTCTTCTTTTTGCGCCTCAGCAGACATGCAAATTCAGTTGCCGTAAAAATAAGCTCAAATGATGCTACATTGGCTTGACGTGCACCGAGAGCGGAGCGGAGGAAGATTTTCGATAGTGAAACATTTTTTCCGCATTTACTGTCTTCCTCGTTGCTAATGTTTATGGTAACTGGAAGGTAGAAGCTCGAGAAGATGCGCCTGTCAATAATGCGTTTGACACAAATGCAATAAGCAATATACACTGACACAGTGACACATCACACAAACACACATGCAAACTACCAATGCAAAGACAATGACACACCTCACATATGTAACTGGTAAGGATTGCTCTGCATCCTAGTTGTGTGGAATTGCCATGCAAGCACTTTACCACTCCTGGATGCGCCTGCCGCCATTCGAACGAGTTTTGCATTGTAAAAGCTGTCGCCATTTTACCAATTTTTTCGGAGCTGCCACAGTGCTGCATAAACAGCTCGGATTTTCTTTGTCAATTTAGCACAATTTTGTTGTTGTTTGTGACATTATCCTGTTGTGTGCTTGTATCAGGAAGCTAATAATGTTCGCTACAATGAGGCTTCCCGAACGGCAGTGGTATGCTGGTGTGCTGGTGTGCTGTTACCGCTCGCGTGCGACGGTAAATTAGTTTATTTTTGGTTATGATATTACGTTCTCGTACGTCTTATTCAAAATTTTAATATTTTATATATACTCGTATACTTCAGCCTCTGCTGCTCTGACAGCAGCTAATGCGGGTTTTCACAAGTGCCAAAGTAAAATAAATTATTTTGTATGCGCGGCAGTTTTCAGCACGATTTTATGAATTTAGGATTTTATAAACAGTTTTTTTCGCCTTTGATACTTTGGTTGAGATGAATTTTCGCTGATAATCGATATTCGATTTAACGCTTGCTTAATCGACTTGATTGCATTTTTCGAGCTTAATTTTAAAGGCGTACGCTAAAATTTACGAAGTCAATATTTTGACCTTTATTGGTTGTAATTTTTTTCACATTTGCATTATTCCGGAATTCAAATTTTCCTCAACGTACTTTAACATTTTTAAAATTCCTTTCCGTTCCTAGTTAAGTAGGATTTAATATTATTTTTATTTTGTTGATGGGTTAAGCAACGTTTTTCATAACCTCTTATCTTCTATTTTTATGAAACTGTAGTATTCACATATCAGTACAAAGAAATAAAATTGATTTGGGATTTATTACACTCTACTAACCCTAAGAACTGTATATAACTGAATACAATATGAGTAATACACTAATTGACTCAGATAGTCAAGCAGCAATCAAAGCATTATCCTCCTGGAAATTTTTTTCAAAGTTTCTATTCGACTGATATGATATGCTGCAGCAGCTGGCAAGTAATAATAAAGTGACGCTATGTTGGGTGCCTGGTCACACAGGAATCAATGGTAATGAGTTGCCGACAGTTTTACGAGGGCAGGATCTGCCACTCAAAACTGTGGACCGGAACCTAATTGTGGATTAAATTTGTCTACAACTAAGTCTCCAATTGATAAATCGTTTTTAGCCGAGAGAAGTCGCTACTGCCACGACAGTCGAAGTAACCGTCAGGCTAAAGAGCTGGTTCATCTCTACAGTTATGGTAAGGTATAATTTTTCAGCAGAACAGAGTTGAGGTTGTTGGTGGGATATTTAACGGGTCAACATGGACTGCGTTACATCTTAATAAAATGGGTCTGTCCGAAGAGATGGATTGTTGACTCTGCTTAGAAGCAGATGAGACATCATGG